TTTCTTTAGCTCAATTTGGAAGGTACAAGATGCATTGTATGTACGAAATACTTTGATGGTTAGTCCTTTCATGTATTTAGACAATGTTTATTCAAATCTTGAGCCTAAATGAATTTTTAAAGAAAATTTGAAAGAGATAATGAAAAGCTTATAGAAGAAGGAAGGTCACCTAAACCCAATGAGCATCTTAAACAATTATTAAAAAACATTGATGAAAAAGAGAAGGCGTTGAAGAATGAACAAAAATCTGGAAAGGTCAATCTGAGAAAAGGACAAACAAGTGAAAAACTCTGGATCCAAATAGAAAATTTGACAGAACGTATCAAAATCACCAAGTTGTTGAGACAAGAAAAAGATAATAAGACAATGGCATTGGGCATATCAAAAATTCATTACTTGGACCCACGTATCTCTGTTGCGTGGTGTAAAAAGTACAATGTACCAATTGCCAAAATTTTTAATAAAAGCCTTTCTGAAAAATTCCAATGGGCATTGGATATTGACGCAGATTGGGTGAGTATTTTCCTTTATAAAAAAGTAATATTGAAAAGATCGACCGAGGTTTTTTACTAATACTAAATTATTGCCATTTAGAAATTACGCGAAACAATTAAATTCAGTAAATTCAGTGCAAATCTAATTAATATCAATAAGGTAAATAAATATATGCGAACTTTTTATGGTTACCTTTTTTTTTCTAAAAAAAGAACCGGCGCAATAGTAATATTACAATATAGAAAATAAAGTGATTTGGTATTAGAATTTCTGAATCTTGGTACATCCATCATCTCACAGTAGCACATGCTTTTATATATTAATATAAGTATTTATTATATTGAATTTCTTTAATTCAAATAAATGTCTTTTATTATTGTAATTATAAAAGTAATCAGAATTCTCATCAAGTTAAATAAATAAATAAATTGATTATTTAATTGATTCATTGTTATTATTATCGTTATCGTTATTGTTATTGTTATTGTTATTAACACCGTCAAGCCTTGCCATGAAATCTAGTATCAGATCAATTCTTTTTTCCATTGTTTTCATCCTATTATCAAAATTATTTTCAATGGATTTTATATTATTATTTAATGCTAAAATGTCTTTTTGAATGGAATTCACTTCTACAAAATCATCATTACTACTAATAGTATTCTCCTTATCTTTATTAGATGTTATACTGTCTTCTATTGGCAATAAAGATCGTCGTTGAATATTCGATTTAGAACTGGAAGAACCAACATCTCGAATTTTATCTTTGACTATTAAATTATCATTGTCCAAATTGCTATTGAAATTACCATCATCAATACTATCATCATTATTATGATAAGAAGAATATCCATAATCAACACTACCATCAGTATTGTCTTTTATTTTGCTATTCCATATATAATACGTTGAAAAGTTTTGAGTAATATATTCCGTTATTTTTCTACCAGTCAAATCAATATCATCATCACCACCACCATCATCATCATAAAAATAATTAGTGTTATCCTTTTCTTTCAGCGATGTTGTGGATCTTAACGTTTTGTATTGTTCACATTTACTCAACCATTCGGCAAATTTATTTGTATCGCCAATATAAAATATATGACGTGGATTGCCTTTTCGATCTCCAAATGGTTTCTCTAATGTCTCATAGTCTGATATTAAATCAGCTCTATATCTAAGCACTGCATGTCTACCCTCATGTCTTGCATCATCAAAAACCCCCCTGTATAAAGGAAAATACAAATAAACAATTATTTGTCAATAATTATGATTATTTATTGTAAATACAACATTTCACAATAATTTCCCAATTACTTACGTCATAAAAGCGATCAACATATTTTGCAAAATAATGACCAATAAAACACTTGCACCAATTGATAGAACATTGGCTGGTACAAAAGCCATCCATTGATCCAATTGATCCCATCGTCCATTTATCCAAAAATACACAGCAAAAACCGACGTAAAGAAATTTGAAAATTGATTGTCATTAATTTTACCCAATTGATAATACGCATCTATAGATACTGTAGCATTCGTGGCAGGATCTATATATTGGTATTGATTCCCATCGGGAGCTACTCCTATTTCGTCCGGATAACGTAGTAAAACATACCTAAAAAAATTATTTTTTGTCATCAAAAGATAGAAAAAAAGTTGAAGAAAAATAATAAAAAGTAATTATAATGAACATACATTGCATGACCAAATCCTAATACTACTATGCACATAAATGCTATAAATGGCCAAACAATCCTCACAATATTAATTATAATATAAATATAATATCCCGTAACTAGTTGAAAAAAAAATATAATAAACATTTATTATTATATATAAAGTAAACTTTCTATTTGATTTTATTTTTTAATTGCTTACTTGAAAAAAATCTTAAAAGCAAAAACTATTCAAATAAAATAAATTTTCAAATTAATCATCAAATATCTTGTTATAATCAAATTCGTAAGCAAAATAATAAAATTAAATAAATATATACCAATTCAAACCACATAACCAATATTGTAAATGATATAGCGATGGTTAGTTGTCTCCCCGATGTAATGGGATCATCTGTATCATATTTAGCTCTAATCAACCCCACTGAATAAGCTGCAAGTGGCATAATAACTGATGCTATATCAAAAAAGTTATAAACACTAAAATATCTTCTCCAACCCTCATGTCTAAATTGTACTAATTCAATTGCCAATAAATAATATCCTAAATAATAGAATATAGTTGTTAATAAATAAGATAGAATTTCTATTCCATATCCTGACGAATCTTTTTGATGTTGAGTGAAAAATTTATTTTTAACTGCCCCTGTTATTACACCAAACAATAATGCAAAACTAGAATATAATATACAATGTCTGATAAAATGATTTCTCGCTGCTCTCCATTTAAAATCTATAATTGCCTCGACGGAAGGATTATCAAGTGTTATGCCGTTTTTATCTTTTCTAATAGTTCTTATGAACGGGCTCAATTTATGATCTTTTGTGATTGTGTAGTTACGCGGCCATATCAATATCTTTAAAAGTTGTAATGGTAGAAACCTGTAATTAACATTTTGGGGTTTAACATTTTCGGGGTAAACAGTGAAGTCAGGTAATGGCGCAAGCCTTAAAGCTATCAACGACGAAGAATTTGCACGATCTAAACCTGGTATGACTTTTTGTAATGCTGATAATTGATGGCCGCTGTTTTTTGTAGATCGGTTTTCTTCCACGGGTTTTATTTTACGTTTTAATACCATCTTTGCATCAAAAGCTCTAACATATTTGGATTTGCCTCTTGGCAAATCTCCCGGACTAATATACGATTCATCTACGTGTATTTCTTTGGCTCCAAAACATGGTTTAGAAAATAAATCTTTGACGAACGTTTCTAAAATATAAACAAACGAAAGTATTAATAATTATATAATAATTACTACTATCATTATTGTTGTTATTGTTGTCATTATTTATTACCTAAACGATGATCCAATAATAAAGGTATTGCACGGCTTACAGAAAACATCCATCCTGTATTATCCATAGCATTCTCAGAATAATAATCCAGTAGGGTTGACACAATTATCAAATCTTTATTATGTCTTTTTTCACTACATTTAATAGCAACTTCCAAGTCACTTTCTTTCGGTTTACGAGGCCATTCGTATAATCTAGGAGTGTGTAAAAACATTATTAAATCCTTTTGATTTTTAAAAATCATTTTGTCGGGCTTTAAGATATTTTGTATCAATGATATACGTCTACCCGAAATTAGATTGGCCATAACTTCATAACGTACATCAATCATTTTCCACACTGAGGGGTTTCTTTTTATGAATTTAACGACAATTGTTTCTGTTTGTGCTATTAAATCTTCAAATTGTTGTTGTTTTTTGGGTCCAGCTGGGTCATCTCTTCTAGTGTAGAAATAATGCAATGCTGAACATGCGTCTTTGATAGCATTGACGTCATATGGCCAATGAATCTTTATTGGTTTTTCGTTGCTATGTGGATTTGATCCAAATTCAAATCTAACTATAAATTCTCTATCGCCAATTTTCAAAGATTTTAAATGAGCTTTTTCCTTGGTTGGATTTGTCCAAATATATTTCAATATTGATTTTGAATCTTTCGGATCGTAACTATCATTACCTCCTTTCAACTTCTTCTTATACCAGACTTGAACTGTAGACTCGCCAATAAATAATTGTAAAGTTTTTTCTTTATTTAAAAATGCTGATATACGATTATAATTTCTATTATGATTCCAAGGTTCTTTATTATGAGCTATAACATTGCTTCTTATTTTTAGGTTGTCTACATCATATTTATTACTCTGATCAAATACGGTATGAGCTACAGCCTGGTCCCATTCAGATTCATAAAGTTCTTGTAATGGCAATTCTATCAATTCATTAGATGTTCTATTTGGTTTTAATAAGTATTTTAGGGACTCATCTTTTAGAATAGATTTAAGTTTACCCATTTCATCAATCAATAAAATTTTACCGGATGATCTAACTAAGCGATGACCCGAGCTAGGAAAAACTTGACTTGAATCCTTCAATATCCGTATAGAATCGTTAAAATAAGTGAAAAGGTCCCATACAATAATCACTGGGGTTGATCTTTCTTTTTCAACAGCGATTATCAATAAAGACTCATCATCATTAACAAAATCTATTGACAGGATTTTTTCGAGATGATTGAATTGACGACTAGCGATCTCCAAACTGTTCTCCATCAAATAAATAGACATAAAGTTTGAACCTCTACAGTAAGCCAGTAATGTTTTATGGGTGGATATGGAAACGGCAGGACTACCATGACCAACTGAAGTATTGACAATATCTTCATGTTGATGGAAGATCATATCCAACTTACTGGTATTTAAGTTGTACATTTCTACAACTTGTATTCTATTTTTATAATCCTCCACCAAAAAATAATCATTCTCAATACTACGCGATAATAGTTCCAGACAAGAAATGTTCTGGTATAATTTTTTCAATTCCATTTGAATCTTTGGTGGATAAGAGAACTCTTCAAGAGGTGTTGCTGTTAAATCATTAAAAAATAAAGACAACATATTATTGATATCGTCTATTGAATTAATTATTTTTGCCATCATTCCATTATTTTTCAATTCATTTTCCGTTGTAGAAACATTAAAAGTAGTTTTATAAATTCCTGTAGCATTCAAAACAATAACGCTTGCATGATTGTTATCATCTGCTGTTGTTTTACCATCATTATTTAAAAATTTTACTAGCCCACCAATTTCATCAATTGTTGTCGTAATTCTCTTTGTATGTCTAGTAGAAAATATCCAAGTTTCTGAATAGTTTTTCTTGCTATAACAATTTTCCTCGTCATTTGTTATTATTCTTTGATATCTATTATCATAACTTCCTTGACCTTCTTCAATGTTATTATTATTCTGATTCAACATCATTGTATGTTCATCGAAACATGATAATGCTATTAATATTTCTGTTTCATGAGTATCTATTGAATTAGAGACCGCTAACGACCAAACCAATTTTAATGTTGTGTCAACTGATAATGCGTCATATTTTATGGTTTTAGCTTGATCTAAACTGTCAATCATGCATGTACTCAATTCAAGTGTATCTGGTAGGCAAATAGGACAAATTATTGGAATTAATTATTGGAATTATATATATATGCTTGCAAGCATATTTTTATATTTATATATTTAGTTAGAAAACTTACCAGTATCAAAAGTGACAACATGTTTACCATCGGGGCTTATTGCCACATGATATTTGGGATACGAAGATATTTCCACATCTGTTTTCTCGTATATATTCATTTTTCTCTAACATAAATATATATATATAAGTTTTTAAAGATAAAATTTGGTTTGTTAGTTTTAAAAAAATTTTTTTTAATTGAATTTGAATTCATTCGTTGAACGAAAGTTTGTGTTCAAATTTATTATTATTAAATGTTTTATTTTGGTAATTACTCATTATTATTATTATTTGGATAATATCCGTGACTGAATACTAACATCGGATATTCACTAAAAAAATAAATACGCCAAAAGGTTTATTTATATTTATTGTACTAATACTAAAACGGATAAAAAAACAAAACACGAATGGTTAGCAAAATGCCAATTATATACAATTGAAAACTTGCTGTAAAATTTCCGAAAGCGATAAATTTTCCGGAAAAAATATTATTTTCGCCCTGAAATTCATGTTAATCGAAATGAAAATATCAACAAAATGAATGAGTAAAGAGGATATTATGTGTTTGGAAATTATATTAATATTAATATATATGAGGGTTTTTACAGCAAAAACCGGTCACGAGCAAAAAAATTTTTTTTTAGAAAATGTCAAATAGGACCTTGGACAATCATATTTGAACTGGTATGTAAGAAAACATAAAAAGTTGTGAAAAATAATCCGAATATCTTACTAAAAATGGCTAGCAAGTTTTCCTTTTTGGGCCATTTTTTTTAAAAACCCAATTTTTATTATGTAGATGCTTGAAGATCTGACTGGTGTTTAACGAGATCACCCACTTTTCTCAATTATAATTGTCCGAGGTCCTTGTCAAATCATTAAAATTTATTTGCCATTTTCCTGAATTTCTATACCGTTTCGAAACTTCCTATTGTTTTCGAAATTCCTAAATCTCTTTTCTGTTTCAAAACTCCGAAAAATCCTATTGTTTTTGAAATTCCGAAACTATTTTGAAACCCCGAAACTAATTGTTTCCAAACTTTGAAATTCTATACCGTTTCAAAGCTCCGAAAATATTTCGAAACTCCTATACTGCTTTCAAACTCCAAACTATTTCGGAGTTCCTATACTGTTTTCGAAATCATGAGTATAAAACTCATGAATTTCAAACACAAGTCAATTTTCAACATTAATCAAATTATTTTATAAAGATACTATTCACATAAAACATCATCTAAGTAGTGAATTAATAATTAAATTTGTTACAATCACATTTAGGGATGGGTCGGTTTTGTTAATACAGTAATAAACGGTTTGAACTCGGTTTTGAAACCAACCCCTGGTTTTTTTTTTGTTTGGTTTTTGGAACCGTTCAAACCGTTCAAACCGGTTACACATGATCAAAATGTGACACAAATAGTTCATTAAAATTTATTTTATTTATTAAATATAAATGATAAGAATAATATTTGATAAAAAATTTGTACATCATCAAAAACTTGACTAGAATCAAAGTTCATATTATTAAAATTTTCTTGGTAGAGGTCTTGGTTATCAAAAGTTTGTTGATCCATTTTCTTTATTAATTTTTAATATGTAGGATAAAATTTGTTATCAAAGAATTATTAATTTCAATAG